CTTTTACTTTTAATTATCGAACTATCACCACAATCACCATCACTGACCATCCTTGAAGAAAACCCGGTCGAGAATGAATTACCCATAAACTAATTCTAGATATTTTCCGGTTAAATCTTAATGGTGAATTAAAACGACCCAAGAAAAGACATGGCACCCGAGAAGCTTTTGTGGAGGAAAATGTTCCTCACGGAGATAAAAGTTATTGCCTAATCTTTTGATTTGAGGATGATAATCTAGATTGATTATGAGTTCGCAATTGTTATCCTACTTCTTAACTCTTTAACTATTTTTTGATAAGGGAGAAACTAGTCAAAAACTCCCATTCTATTCAATATTCAAATCAATATTCCTAAACCTATCACTACTACTAATACTTTCCCTGCCATTTTGGCTTTTTCAACTGAAATTCCTAAAAAACTCCCTTTTGGCTCCTCATTCTCCCGCTCCTCCTTTTTATTTCAACTGAAAAAGTTCTTTTTTCTTTCAAAAATGTTCTTTACTATATTACCTAACTCCTCATTCTTTTCTTGACTAAATATCTGAAAAACCGGGTTTTCCTCCAACTCTTTTTTTAATTGGGATACTTCAGCTCGTTTAGCATTCAATAAAGTTAATAACTGGGCTTTTTTGGCAGGGTCAGTTTCATTTTTTCAATCTTTCGCCAATTTATCCGCTTCTGAGGTGGCTTGTTCAATTTTTTTTAATATTATTTTCCAATAAATAACGGTTAATTTGTTGGAGAGTTATAAACTTTTNTCCTTTGCTTCTAACTGGTGAACTTTTTTCCAACTTTTCAAAATTAATATTCCCCCGACGGTTAAAGCAGCAATTAAAGAACCAAAGAAAATTGTTTTGGAATTAATACTACTTTCCGCAGGATTAACGGTCGTTATTTGCTGACTATTTTCCGCCCACTGAGCCTTAATTATCTCTTTTCGTTGAACCGCTAACTCTTGATAATTATTCACTTGCTCTAACTTTTCCTTATAAGTGTTAAATAAATTTGGGGACAATAAATCTTTCATCGTCTCTTTTTCTAATTGAATAATAATAATTAAACTTTCTCNGTCCGGAGNATTAATCAATTCTTTAATTCGCTTAATTATCTGCGAACGATTACTATCGGAACTACAACCTAATTGACACTCAGTATTAATTTGTTGAATTAGTTCTTTTTCTTGCTCTAATCTAACTTGCTGGTGATATTCCTCCGANCAAACTGGCGGACAAGTGTGATTTNTCTCGTAATCAGTAGGCGAACCATGTTCTAAATGACAAGTAGGGAAAACATGACTATCGGAATGGAATTGCGAGCAAGAAAGACAAGTATTATCGCGGGCTTCATGTTTACCTTTCATTATCTCATATTTCTTTTTCCACTGTTGGGCTTTTTCAAAAAGGATTTGGCTATCTCCGTTCAGTTGCTTACTCTTAATCTTTTTTTGGCTCAATTCTAACATTAATTGTCAGATTTTATTGGCTAATTGCTTATTTTCTTTAACCGCCTTTTGATTAGTTCATTTATCATAGCCTTTTTTGCTTAATCAGGCTGAAAATGCTCCTAGACTGATGCTTCCTAGTGGGTGTTCTTGGGCTTGCTCTCAACTTCACTCAAAAAATTGCTGAACTCGACCCGGTTCGGTTAAATGGTTAATGGCTTCGGCTAGTTGCTGGTGATTGATTTTTAATTCCTCTCTCTCTTTTTGGAAAGTTTCGCGTTCCTGGTTCTGGTCGGTAACGACTTGTTGGATTTGCCTTTTATGGCGGTTATTTTCTTTGGTTAGGTTTTGGAGTTGAGTATTTAAATTGGTTATTTTGTGAGTTAAATTATTGTTTGCTTCTTTTTGGGTAGTAATTTGACTTTGCGATTGAGTTAACTTCTTTTGGAGAGTTTTCTTTTCTCGGTTATTTTGGGTTAGTTGTTTTTTTAGAGAAGTTTTTTCTTTTTTAATTTCATTTAACTTTTTCGCTAGATTTACAAGATTTTTCTCTTGTTGTTGGTTTTCCTCGGTTTGCTCTTGTAATTGTTGGGCGGTATTAGTTAATTTTTCTGTTAGTTCGTTAATCTCTCCGGTTTGCTGTTGCTTAACCTTGCTAGTATTTAATAAGTCATTTTCTAATTGAGTAATATTTCCTTGATAAACTTGATTTCGCTCTCTTAAAATACCTAATTCAGTTTCAGTTTGGTCTAAATTAATTTCACTAGTTTTTAAAGCTTTTTCAACTTTCGCTAATACTTGGGTGGTTTGCTTGTAATTAGTTCGGAGAGTAGTTAACTGGGAATTAGTGTTATCTAACTCGGATTGCTTGCTATCTCTTTCTCGGCGAGTAATATCATGAACTACTTGCTCGTCGGTTAAATCAACTTGAATTTTCGCCTGTTTATCAAGGCTATTATCTAGTTCTTGTTGAGTTTGCTGGTAAATTTTTTCGGTTGCTTCAATTTTAATTCCTAGTTCTCTAATTGTATCCTCTAATTCCGTTTGCTTTTTTTGAAGTTGAATAATAGTTTTATTTTGAAGTTCCTTTTGTTTGTTTAGTCTTTTTATTTCGGTAATTTTTTCCGTAAGTTCCAGTTGGGTTGCTTTATGAACCTTTTGCTCCAAAATTAACTCGTTTTGAATTAAGGTATAATTACTTTGAACTTCCGCTAATTCAGACTGAGCTTTTTCATGATTAGCCTTTTCCCGGGAAAATTCATTCTGAACTTTCTGGCGAAGTCNCCAACTCTCTTTAAAAATTAGCGGAACGGCAATTATAGAGGGATTAATATTACTAGTCTTGTTCGTGGCAGTTTCTTACTCATAAGTGATTAGTAGTATTATCTTTAAATCAAAAGACTATTTTATATTTCTTATCTCNAAANNNAATTCTTTTCAAAACAAAATGGTCTCTTTTTCAATTAGGGTTTTTCTTGGGTTCAAAAGTTAGTATTTCTCCATTTACCTTNACTTGAAAAATATTNAGAATTAGTTCTTGGGTAATTTTTTCTCGTCCGGGTTTTTTCCAAATATGGTTGTAATAGTTAAGTAATTAATTATCTTTTTATTAAAAATAAACTCAACTGAATAAGTTCACCATTGCTCGTGGTATTTCTCACTAAACTCCTCTTTTTCTAACCTAAACAGTTCGGTCATAAGGATTTTTGCTGTCCTCTTTTTTTTCAATGGTAATTTTTACTTCACAGGGAGAAAACAATTTATTAGTATATTCAACTAGTCTATCCAAAGTAAAATAATCAATTCGGTAATAAAGAATATCCTCGGTTTCGGCTTTGCTTAATTGAAGTTTTTGAGCGATTTCGGCAGTGCTGATTTTAGTGTCTAATTTATAACTTACCACCTGGCGACAAATTTCATACTTGGCTTGCTCTAATGGAGTAGCATTTTCCGGTAAGGCTCAGGAGCCTCCCTGATAATTAGGGTCATCTAATTCGGCTAAATATTTTTGGTATTCGGTGTTTTTTTTATTGTTTTTATTCATATTTAGATTGTTTTCTTTCTCGTGACTCATATACTTTAAATTGCTTTTCNATTNCACTCCTCTCNGCTCTCACTTTTTTCTTAGTTTCCAATAAATTTTTAGACTATTTCTTTTTAACTTTTGGATACTTGGCTAATCAGATAATTAAACCGATTAAGACCACTATCAGCGAACCCACTATAAAAATAGGAAGTTTAGCAACTCCGGTGGATTGATTAGTATTTTTAATTCCGAGAATGCGGTTGATTTTCTCTTTTCTTTGTTCGTAAGCATACTGAATAAAAATATCGCTCTCTCGCCGCGAATAAAGTTCTTGAATTCGCATTTTGATAAGTTTA